GTTTAGGGTTCAGGGTTTAAAGTTTGAACGAGGCGTTTGGGGGGGGGGTGTGTTTTTGAGGGTTGCATGGGGCTCTTCTATAGTGGTTTCATGGCATCTTATAATGCTTATAATGACTGGAATACGGTGTGGGTGATACAGATGGATATAGCATAATGCCATGAGTCTGAGTAGTCCAAAATTGAATGGGTCCGAGTACTCTAAACAAGCACAGTGGAAATTCAACAGCATCCCCCAACTCCCATCTATTAATCACGATTTACGGGCCGGGTGTGTACTCAGCACTGGCCCTGGGTTCCTGACAGATAGGACGAGATTCTTAAACCCTGAAGCGTAAAGCCAAGACGACCTTCAGCCCAAGCAACCGAAACGCCTCAACCCAAACACAAAAAATCCCCAACCNNAACCCTAAATCCCTAAACCCCAAGCACTACACCCCGAAACCCAACGACCCTCTCTGCCAGCCCACCAGCGTCTCGCGCTGCAGCCGGCTACTGGGCCACACATCGAACTGCTCGCCTTGGATTTGCCCAAAATAGGGGCCTTTATTTTTAGAATAGGGCTTTGGCTTTGGGGTTCCGAAAAAAGGGTTAAAGGGAACCGCACAGATAGGAACTGTGGTAGCAAGTCCTCTCCAAAAGGCACCAGAAATCGTGAACATGACGTTGCCTTCTCAGCTATCCGGCGCGAGAACATCACAGCGTCCACACATGCCGGCATTGCCGGCATCCCATGGCTGGGACCTTCTGCCAGCCGCTTACAAGCTGTCAGCTCCTCTGAATCTGCCGGCTCGCAGAACTACTCCAGCGTCATGGTTTTAGCTGGTGAAGGTTCCTCAAACTTTAGACCAAAACTTGGGACTGTGGCTCAAATCGTTCGCCAAGCGTCGCACGGCACGGTTGGACCTCGGCTTGGACACCAAGCGCGGCAACCACAGCGGCGTCTTTGGGTTGCTTTGGGATGGATCTGTTCGAGCTCACAACTGAAGCTTCTGAAAGAAATGGGACCACGTCCGCTTGCACATGGATGCCAGCATGGTATACTGCAGACTGCAGACAGCAGGTTGATCTCGCCGTTCGATGTGATACTAACACAAGAGATCAAATCTAGAAGATGGATATGCTCGACTATGTCGCGCTATGTTAGCCGCTGTTGGCGGCAATTGAATGCTGAAACTCTCACCAGCTGCAGGTGAACAAACTCACCCGTGCATCAGGATGTGGTCTGCGAGTCTCACTCACCCACCACATAAGGAGCTACCCCAAACTTCCACCAGAACGACATGCGAAAAATGCCCCGCATATCTGCCGCTGACTGACGCCCAAGCACACGGCCCACACCTTTCCAACAGCTAAGCCTCATGGATCCCATTGCGTCTCCAGCCCCTGCACAACACAGAACGCACCTCCAGCGCGACGGAACTGCAATGCCGAAGGGCCGAAGTTGCATCTCCACTGCTGGCGGACTTGGCCCCGGCTCGCCCTTCAGGTAGGTCGCCAGCCACTTCCTTGTGACAGGGCCGAACGGACAGAGGGTCCTTTTTTGAGGAGCGTAAGGTTCCAGAGCTGAGGGCTGCTGGAATGCTCGGGATCTAGACTTCACCTAGGGCAAAAGGAGGAAAACCACAGACTGCAAGCCAAGCCCATGGTCACAGGTTGACAACAACGACTTCAGCAACATCGTTGGATCAAGGCGCTTCACCTCCAGCCAGACATGGTTATTCGGCAGCCCAAACAGCCCTCCGATTTCTGCACTGGCATGGACGCCTGCAGAGGGCTTCGTGGCTACTTGGATTTGTCCGGGGCCGTCTACGCAAAGAAGTGTCCTAAAGCCCAACATTGAATATTAATGTCGACGACTTCTGCGAAGCTGGTGTTGCAAAACACACTTCGTGGCTTGCGGCATGTTGGCGTTTAGGTTTCTTCACCGAGATCTTATGATCGACAGACTGAGCCGGGCCAAGCCTGGCAAAAGTAGGTGGGAAAATACACATGTAGACACACATGGTGGTAGTTTGCGGCTGAAGCGAACTCCTATGTGTCGTGCCTGTTTTCAGCAAGCCCGCAACGACCACTCCCAAGCTGCTGCAGGACAGGGAACAATGCAACCCAAGAGGGAATCCCTTGAGCCTAGACCACAAAAGCCTCAATAATTAGAATAAGGTTTTGGGGCCTTCAAAATCGTATAGGCTACCAATTAGGGTGCGGGCGCATAGGTTGCCCTGTTTGGTTCGTACTTAGAATGTGCGCGAAACTGGGGTTTTAGCATGATTTCTCCAAAAAACAGGTTTTTAGGACATCACGCAAACTAATTGCATTTTGACGATGACCAATATCATCAGCAGCAACATCAGCATCATCGTCGTCTTTATGAGCAACATCAGCATATTCATAATCTTAACATTGCTGATTAGGAACATCACAGCGTCACTAGGATTTTTATCATCATTCTTCATCACATAGCGTCATTAGGAATTTTATCATCATTCTTCATCACATAGCATCATTAGGATTTTTATCATCTTCTTCATCACATAGCGTCATCAGGATTTTATCATCATTCTTCATCACNNACCGTCATTAGGATTTTTATCATCATATGCGACGGCCGGACGCTATCAAACCAGAGTTGTATCAAGCTTTTGATGCTTGACCCTGATCATACGGATAGGTGCGCTTTGCCCAAGAATCTGCCGTCCTTTCACGGCTTGCTGGCGGAACCTACCCGCCTTTGACTTCAAGCACCCAGGTTTTGTCAGCCTTGGGCTTCCAAACAAAACCGGCTGGCGGGTCCAAGTTCGGATGTATATAATGATATTGGCGAGCCTCCTCCAAAAAGTGCGGAACCCCATACGTCGAGCCAGATGTAGGCTTCGCTCGCTCACGCTGTTCTGTCGTCGTCCTAGGAATGACATGTTGGCGTGCTAGCTCTTCCATGCGGCCGTGCACGTCTGGAGGGACGAAAGATTGCGGTTCGCCCAAGAGTCCTGCCGTGCTGTCACTCGTGTTGCCTCCCATGGTCCCAGCGCCTTCACCACCGCCAGCTTCTCCGGCTGAGGTTCCTGTGCCGGCGGTTTCCGACAAGACTCCGGCCTCTGGCAGTTGCTCATCTGTGCCATCCTTCTTGCTTGCTGCATCCTCGAAGTACTTGCGAAAGTGATGCACTGCTTTGCAGAATTCGGGCCATCGGTCTTTGCCGGAAGTCATGTAGTACCACTGCTGTTGTCGAACATAGGCGTCAAGCAACTGCCGACCGGCAGGAGTTCGGCCACTAACACCACTGGGGATGTCGTCCTTCAAGGACCGCCACGCTCTGTCGATCGTCTGGGTATGGCACAAAGCATTTCTCGTTTCTGGGGGTCGCCAGAGCACATCTACGCTCTTTGTGAACTCATGTTCAGAATGATTTACCTGTGCCGCGTCTACAATGCCCGGATGGCTAGTGTGGACAAAGGCAGGGGCGCTGTCAGAGAACATGACGGCACGGGTTCGATGGTCGAACCCAGCCTCGTCCAGAGCAGTGCGATACGCGCTCTGGGTGATCTGCGGGATCCGCGGCTCATTCAGAGAGGTACGGAGAGGCATGCTTTTCAACCAGAGTTTGTGGGATCCTCGCTCCAAGATTCCAAAATATACGAGCCAACGGTAGGTGACCCTCTCTTCGTCTTCATCGCTCTCCTTCCACGAGAACAAGCACGTCTCGTCGCACTCGATGAACGCTGAGGTTTGATACGGCAGGCGCCCGAAAATGATCTGGCTCTGACGCCTTTCTGCGTCGACTGCCATCACAGCTCGGGCACGGTTAGCCCAGGCTCGCGCATACGGCTCCGACACGTCCAGCTCCCGAACGATCTGGGTCAGAGTGTAGCCTTCAACTGTCATGTGGTATGTGAGGATGGCATAGGTGGGCCCCCAAGACCCATGCCCGCTCAGCTTCGGAAACAACACGTTGTTCATCGTGACCGGGCATCTCTGTCTGCACCTGCGTCAGGGCACAGGGCCGCAAAAGAAAGTTAGACCAAGAATAGCCACGTCTGCCGGGTTTTGTACTAGAAATGTTTATTACTAGAATCATCACTTCCACGCAGCAGGACAAGTCAGAGCTATGGCTGACGATGAGTCGTACGCTTCGGGTCAACCGCATAGGTTTGCCCAGACCCAAAAGAGTTTAGCCCAATGACGTCCTATCCGCTCACGCAGAGCAGCAGTTGTTCTTGCGTGGCCCATCGGCATCGCAGGGACCGGCGTTCTGCGTTCCGTCCTTGGCAAGCGAGACAGAGTGTCTTGCTCCAACAGCTGGCCAATGCTCCTTTGCAAATCGCTAAGCTGGTTGGATAAGGAGCGCGTCGAATACCATTTCGTCCTTATTGGATTTGATCATCGGAACACAGTACCATCCATCGGTTGCATTAATGATCGGATTACCCGCGCCATCCTGATAGGTGACCACGGTCGACATTCCCCAATCAAGCAACTCACACACGTTGACAGCGTGATTCGGAAAGGAGGCTCCCAGCTTCATCATATACGCAAGCCATCCATACACCTTACGCTCTTCATGATCGGATCCTACAATCGTAAATGTCTGTCCCGCAACCTCGGGCAAACCATTGATCTCCGCCTCAGGCAAGTTGGAGGCGTGGGGTGACGGTAGAATGCCTTCTCAGCAAGGAATGCCCCTGGCAGGAACGGAAGAGTCGGTCGAATCTGCAAGAATCCTTTTAGGAGAGAGTGGGCATCGTTCACCTCCGGGACATCGGATGCTCGCTCCCATTGCGTCATCAGCTTCGAGAGCACCTTTGCCGTGATCGAAATACGATTCGCACCCATCTTTCAGCAGCGGTTCTGCTCGCTGCACTCGACATGGAGTTGCTCCAGCATGCCAGCGGGAAAGGTAACACTCGTGTGCCCATAGCATCGAAGACACGAATGGGCTCCCACGGATACCCTCCTATAGTTCCACATTGTGGACGCAGCTGATGCACTGCTGGACCGAATCAAAGGCCAATGACATCGACGCCTCCTTCACCTCATCGGGCAGCCCCGAGGACGCAATCTTGTCCAGGGCATATGAAGCAAGTACTCCATGTCGTTCCCTACTTGCAGCGACCACGACCTTATCCTGTCGGGTGTATGCAGACGACTTTGAGGCGATCACCAGTTGCTGAAGGATAGGCTTGAGAACAGCTAATCGCCCAACTTCCATCGGCAAGGCAATACATTCGCTACAATTTCATCGGAGACAGCATCGGCAATACCAAGGTCCTTAAAGGCATCGCACAGGACCCTATTGATGTTCCTCTGCTTCTTCGGAGCCTCTGCCTTCATCGTCGCAGGGCCCGCTTTGGGAGGCGGCATCATCGAATAAGATCGGTGGACAATCGGATCACTGCCCCCTCTACCTGCAGCTCAAGACCCAATCGGTGGCCGAGCGCTGGCGAGGGTGCAGACGCCGAAGCAGCACAGAGATTCGCAGCCCGTGGCAGCTACAACCCTTGTAGATCTCTAGCGGGGAGCGCAAGGCACATCAGAGATGAGAGGTTTCCGTCGTAGAGGTGGTCTGTAATGCTCTCACTGTTGTTCGGTGCATACATTCATGCTGAAGATCCATCCGTGATCCTTATGTGTTTGGCACTTGGCATCATTGTTTAAGCTAACGGCACCGCGGCTAGCTGTGAGCCCAAGCATCGGATGAACATAGATCCTTGATAATGCACTCAACAGTTGCGCGCACATCGTACTTGCTCGGACCATCACCCCTCGCATGGTTACATGAAAACTTTGCGAAAATACTTGATCATCTTGAGCCGAGCCCCGGTCCCTTCCGGAAGGTTCGACAAGGATGCCTACACGACCCAGTCATGCTCCTGGAGGAAGCTCTGCAAGCTGCTCCTTGCTCTTTGTTCTGCCTTTCGACGTTCCTGTTCCAAAAATCCCGGGCGACGATGTTCAGATCCTGCTCCATCTTCTGGGCGATGATGTTCTGTTCCTGCTCCATCTTCCGGGCGATGATGTTCAGTTCCTGCTCCACTTCCTGGATGATGTGCATGGTAGGTCAGCCTTTCTTCCACTGTTTCCAAGCGGTTTTGAATTGTATTCACCTGCATCTGCAAGTCACGAAGGTGAGAGCTCATGTCCCGAAGTCGTCCCGATCCCAAGAACAACCGGATTGTTCATCTCCATGTCCTGCTTCTCCGGCCGGCATTATATCATGGCGAAGCGGTTGGGCCTCGTTTCTGTTTCTCCCTGTGTATATAAGCAACGAATGGCACCGGCCGGCACAGTCATGGCGAAGCGGGTGGGCCGCGTTTCTGTCTCTCCCTGTGTATATAAAAGCAACCAATGACAGACGGGTCATCTACATGTCTTCTCTCTCTCTCACATGCACACACACACACACAGCAAAACTTCTGCACGGTTTCTCATAAGAAGGACTGTCCATGCAGAGATGTTCCGATGACACGGAAAACAAAAAGTGTCAGACAAGTGGCTTTTGTTCCTGATCCGGAGAAGTTGCTGAGCATCGAGCTCCAAGAAAACACAACTGCCTAACTGCTCCATATCTTGCCTCTGCCCGTGATCAGTGTCTCGTCTCCATGAACAACAATGGGAATTACTTTCTCCAATTCATCCAAGTGCTCCTGAATAGCATTTCCTGAACACCTTCGGGTAGTTCTCCCAGATTCCAGCAAAAACCTCATGCGGCAAGGAGATTGA